TACGGTATGCAAGTAGACCAGTTTATGCATACCTTTCATTGTCTGACGTTTAGACCAGATTGCACTGTCCGTGGTTTCGGAAGCAATCTACAATGCATACCCGCACGTATAGATAAATAAATAATAATATTAATTAGACTGAATGAATTATATGTACTGTTATAGACCAAAATGTAAGTTAGAACAATTTAGTAATAACAAATCCTAAAAACCGCCTTTCTAAGGAGAATCCTGTGTCTAGCAGTGGACTATTATAGGCTGTTGATGTTGATGTGAAATCCTACAATCCTCCTTTATAACATCAAAACGTTTTAAACTACCGTTGTTCGAAACTGTATTACTTTTAAGTTAAAATAAGTTCTTATGTAAGTTGCTCATATGTCTTTTAGAGAATAAATTCTTTCAACTTTGTGATCTAACTCACTTACAAAATTTACACACTATGATGAAAAATATCAAATTACCCTTTAAATATTACAATGTGTGTGTGTGTCGATAGGCTTTTTGTGTCTATAGGTGTCGCACATGGCACAAGTTTATGGGGCCGTAAATCTGGTGTAAAAATTGCCCACTTTTATGGGAACTCTGAATGTGTAGATACGTCTATAATGCTTCAATTGTTATGTTCGTTTATTTTTATTATTGACGACATTTGTTTCAGTTTATAACACAATACAGAATAGAGTTTATTACACAGCCTGTGAACTCGGCCAGTATAACTTGGCACCGACTTCAAATAGACCAGAAGGTATCTATTGCTATTATGTTACTGAGGGTCGCACTTGATTTGGTTTATTTTTTAGTGCTCTTTGTTAGCATTATTTGAAGTCGGTTCAATTTTTTTTTGAAAGGATTTTTATAACAAAATCATGTAAGACTAAGACCATACATTAAAAAAATACCACCCAACGGTACACTGTGCGGGAATTCAAACTGCGGTCACCGATGTTATGATTAAAAACATAATCTGTATGCCACATAAGTCGTAACCGGTATAATTTCTAAACTTAAATAGTAGAAAAGAATTACACAGTACAGAATGAAATAATCTTTATTGTACACCAAGAACATCATTCATCATCATCTGCCTACCCTTTTCCCAATTTTATTTGGGGTCGGCGCAGTATGTATGATTTTTCCATTCTACTCTGTCATGCGTCATCTCACTGTTTACTCCCTTCCTAGCCATATCCTCCCTGACGCAGTCCATCCACCTCTTCTTCGGTCTGCCTCTTCTCTTGTACCCTTCAACTCTCATACCTAAAACTTTCTTCGCCACATTTTCCTCATCCCTCCGCATGACATGTCCATACCAAGATAACCTATTACTTCTTAACATTTCATCCAGTGGCGCTACTTTCAGACTCCCTCGTATATACTCATTCCTAACCTTGTCCATCTGAGTCACACCACACATCCATCTCAGCATTCGCATTTCGGCTACGTTCAGGCGTCTCTCATCCGTTCTCTTAATGGGCCAACTTTCAGAGCCATACAGGACGGCAGGTCTGATAAGACACCAAGAACATATGGCTTTAAATATAATCCACACAGAATGATTGTACAAATGCAATGGGCGGCTTTGTCGTCAAGAGCGATACAGGAATCCTCTGGATGGACACAATAAAAAATCCACATTATTAGAACCTGTGACTTTCCTTTCCTGAGACTTTCCGAGTGTCATAACTCGGTGTGTTCGTGGGTCACTGCTGTTGATCCTGGTGTACAGGAGCTACAGTGGTTGGCGTGTAGGAGGGATTAGTCCCAATTACTAGAACCTATAAACCATGGATTAACTCTGTGTCCTAAAAGTCTATAATTGTTAATTATAAATCAGGAAAGAATCATTTAAATCAAATCTGTTTTAAATTTTTTGGTTAGGTATGTAAATTTAAATATGATGTTATATGAGAATTTCCTGGGTTATATGGGAATTAAAACTTATTATGTTTTCCATAGAGTACTAAAATTATAAAGTCAATTTGTCATGATTGCATTATCGCTAACAAAATATTTATTAGTAAAACGAGTTGTTGTTGACGACCGAATGGCGTAGTGGTTTGTGTAACGGACTGCTATTCCAAAGGTCGCGGTTTCGATCCCCGCTCAAGTCAAACATTTGTGTGCGTGAACATTTAATGTTTGATTTGGTCTGGGTGTTTCTATGTATTATATGTATGTATTTACAAAAAACAAGTATACATGTATTTATATCAGTTGTCTAGTACCCATAGTACAAGCTCTGCTTAGTTTGGGACTAGATGGCGTTGTGTGAATGTGGTACAATATTATTATTATATTTATTATTATCCTGCCACGATCCAGCTGAGAGAAATAAGGAACATGAGCATTTGATTCTTCGAACGTATAAAAATTGGCAAATAAACACATCGCATTTAAGACTTTCGATAAAATAAATTTCGTGAATTTTAATAATAGACATTGTAATTCTTAGGTATTATAAAACTCTGACTTTTGAAAATCGGAACATCGAAATTCTGAATAAAATATTTCGGAGTATTTGGTTGTTCCCCGTTTCAATGTATGCGATAGTTACTAATTGTTGGGCGTGGATTTTGTAAATTTTAAAATAAGTTGTTTTATATAATAACTAGCTGACCCGCGCAACTTCGTCTGCGTCCCTCAATAGTAATAAATTTTCTCCGTTTTTTAAACATTCTTCATTGGTGCTCCGCTCCTATTAGTTTCGGCGTGATTATATATAGCCTACAGCCTTCCTCGATAAATGGGCTATCTAACACTAAAAGAATTTTTCAAATCGGACCAGTAGTTCCTGAGATTAGCGCGTTCAAACAAACAAACTCTTCAGCTTTATAATATTAGTATAGATTACTTCATACATCGCACGCACGGCAATCTGATTACAATATGCGAAGCGTGTGTTATGGTTACCAGACTACTGAATACTTAAAATTCACTCATCACACAAAATTTGTCCTGGTTGAGAATCGAACCCACAACCTCTAGCTGGTAGTTAGACCAATAGTTTTAACCAACAACGTTTAGGCAAAATAATTAAGGTAATTGTTTTAATGATCTTAATTAGTATCATGGTTATTAATAGCTCCGCGGGAATTGCCGCGCGTGGGTTCAGTTGTTACAAAGGAATTAATTAAGACACCACATTCGATTTTAGCCAAAGAAACCTTCATCTTTGACACTGTGTGACTGCGCATGCCTCGACCTCACCTTGTTGAATTGTACTAAAATTTTAAATAACTATTTAGAAATACATAGGGGTGCTGTCTGGTTACCATAGTACAGGCTCCCTTAATATCAGACGGCCGTGTGTGACACTTCATTATTATTTTTGTAAATTCGTAGTGAAATAACGAACACGTTGAATTATTAAACATTAAATATCCCTCAATGGTTTACACATGAAACGTGTACCAATGTAATTAACAATAACTTATTTAAGTAAAAATAAAATTAATTGCAGTTTCAAGACATAACTCTATAAATTATAATTTGATGAATAAAAGACAAAAGCGATGTTCATTCACAAAAGGCATAAACATCAATATTCCGAATTCTGCGCCAATTTATGTGGTAAATAAAATGTGGTGTGGGATGTTATAATTGAAAGCACACTGACCAGATAATGTAGAATTATATTACAGTAATGAGTTCGTGATGTTGACTGCATTTGTAGCGCCGGGCGCGGCGTTAAGGTAATTCTGGATGGTAGGTATTTTATGGTACTGTGACGTATCCGTTTGGTGACGGATTAGGATTACGGAGTGTCACCACCTCTATTTATCCCGTGGTTGTCGTGAGCCAATTAAGGAACTAACTAGAACTAGAAACTATGCGGGAGCATAGTTTGCTTCTTTACAATAGCACTATAAAGAGAAGGACGCCTAGAGAGGCCTATGTCCAGCAGTGAAGTATTAAAGGCTGTTGATGTGATGATGTCCTTCCCCTCGGGTCTAAAGATGTGAGTACTTTTTAAATCTAAAATCTAAAAGAATCAAAATGTGCTGACCAGATGTGATGATGACTATAGCGCCGCGCACTGACACATGCCATTCAAGATACACAAGTGCTGTATCCATCCTTTGAGTATCTTCTTCCCCCAGAATCTTCAATCAGTAACCTCACTCCCTCATTGAACAGCAAAAAAAAACCCGATTTTTTTTATCGTTTCCGTACCTACCCAGATTTTACGTAGATTTTCGTGAAAATTTAAGTAGAAAAATTTACCTTAATTTTCATTTTTTTTTTTGGTATTATTCCTTTATTTGCGCTGTAAAACGTTTCTTTTTGCTGAATTTCATGATTCTAGGTCAACGGGAACTATCATAGAGGTTTTCGACCCAAAACCGGTTTGGGTACTTCCGGTTGACCTAGAATTGAATTGACAATTTTGCTTAAAAGCAAGGTCTTACAGCACAAGTAAAGAGAAAATTCTGAAAAATAAAACAGGTTGAAAATTAAGGTAAATTTTGGTATTTGCAAGTTTTCGCGAAAATCGAAATTTGCCCGTACCTTTTTATCGTGTTGATTCAGGACATTGATTTTTATACACTTAATAGGGACCATATACCTGAGTATCTGGTATAAATTTCAACTTGCTAGGTCCACCCGTTTCTGAGAAAATCGGTGGTGACACACGGACAGACGGACAGACGAACAAGAAAGTGATCTTATACGGGTTCCTTTTTTACCTTTTGAGGTACGAAACCCTAAAAAAAAATCCTTAACATCAGTTTTCGGTATCACTACGGTCGAGGCCCTTGTATGCTGAAGCATTGCTCTCCCACCTAAAAGCTAAGTGAATACAGGCAACGAAACCATATCGTGTCCTAGCTGTAGCTAATGGAGCTAATGACATCTAACCAAATATTTAAGGCAACATTTTACTTATAAAACTTGTTGAATAAACGTGACATTTAATCCCAAAAACATTTAAGTGATTACAATACACGCTTACATACAAATGAACAAGATTGAACTGTACAAGCTTATGTCAAATTTTAAGCGTTTTTTAGTGATATTATATCTTCAAAGTGCTCTTTTGCATCAGCAAAATTGGCCCAAATAAGAGTATCAGATCTTATATTGATGGAGCGACGCGAAATGGCAGGTAACAGCACCGGCGTGGTGAGAGCAAGTGTCGCCTGTCTCCATACATCATGGGTGTCGCGGTGTCGCGTTCGACAGCACACTACTGTGACCATGATTGGGTTTAATACGACCGAGTCCACGACCGAATAGCGTAGTGGTTTGTGTAACGGACTGCTACTCCAAAAGTCGCGGGTTCAATTCCCGCTCAAGTCAAACATTTGTGCATTGTGCATGAACATTTAATGTTTGATTTGGTCTGGGCGTTTCTATGTATAATAAGTATGTATTTAGAAAAAAAAAGTATATATGTATTTATATCAGTTGTCTAGTACCCATAGTACAAGCTCTGCTTAGTTTGGGACTAGATGGCGTTGTGTGAATGTGGTAAAAAAAAAAAAAACCGAATCTATAAAGTACAAACGGTTTTTAACCCATCTCACGGATGGTAACTTCAAACCGTAATAAAGGTCTAATTATATTTACGGGTTACTCACAGTCAGCTTAGTTCACGACCAGTTCAACATCAGGTAATTCAAAGGTACTACTACACTACAAACATGGAGTAGTTTAAAAGGTAGCATAATAAAGTTCCTCGTAGGGTCGGAAATTAAAGGGACATCTCTGAAATATAGAGGTAAGTAAAACTGTTTATGTTTCATATTTATACTCTACCAGCTTTTGCCCGCGGCTCCGCCCGCGTGTGAAAATTTGCCTATGTTACTTGCTGATAATGTAGTTTACCATCAGTGAAAGAATTTTTTAAATCGGTTTTGTGATTTAGGCCTGAAAGCGTAACAAACAAACTCAATATGAATATTTAAAACACATTTAAAGGTGTTAAGTTAACTTGTATAATCTTTAGTACTGTGATGTAAATATTCGTAGGAATGGTTGCTTTGGTATAGGTAATTTTTAGCTTTATGTTTTTTATTTTTCAAATAACTTAGGTGCCCTACAAGAACTCGGTCTTTCAAGCAGTAATGACTACAATAAATACTATCTAAAGGCGGAGTTACTCAGCTGTTCAAATAGATGTTGGTTTTTAGATTGTTGTATTTTAACACTTTACGTACTTTTTAAACTTTTTTTTAATGTAAAATACATGGTCACCCTACTCTATGAGTGAGAAACCAATATGTTAAAAATTTTGCAGCTTATAAAGCGTACAATATGTATATTGATTTATTAAATGTCATTAAAATTCATCCAGTCTTTTTACAATCACAGAATAATAAACAAAGCCAAGAAAGAATCGATATAGAAGAAAGAAGCTGAAAATCGATCTAAGTGGCGTGCAATGGGAGAGGCCTATGTCCAGCAGTGGACTGCGATATGCTGATGATGATGATGATGACGCATTATGTTATCATCATCATCATCAGAAGCACTAGGGAAGACAAGGCAGCACTAAGGTTTTAAGTAATTTAGAAAAGCAAATTCGTAATTGTGATAAAACATTTGTCAAAACACTTCTGTCAGAAATTTTGCGTAGCAAATTAATGTTGTTTGGACTTGATGCATTTGTTCAAGTAGCATGTCCAAGATTGTCTATTGATTGGGGGGTAGCTTTTTCCCAACCATTGTTGACTCCTTATGAGTTTTCTGTGTCATTAGGGAATAGTAAATGGTTGAAAGAAGATGGTACTTATCCAATGGATTTCTATTCAAATGATAGTTTAGGCCCTTGGACACCTAATTATAAGCCTGTTTTATGTTCTGGTACTGATAAAAAATGTGATAGCTGTTGTGGTGCTAAAAACTAAGAGAAATAATAGGGATATGTTATTTGACTATGGCATACTCATGGGTCCACATAGGTATATACCAAGTGCACAGTTCTGTCAGTGTTCTAAAATTTGAAATGTGTTCAGACTTGTTAAACAATGGCATGTTTATCGTAAAGCTCAGATTTAATTATTTTAAGATTATTGATTCACTTCAATATTTGTTTCATTTAGGTACTTATGACAATAATATGTGATAAGCACAAATGTATTTTGTTTTTACAATATAATGAAATATCGCCAATAAGTAAAAACTAAAAAAATGAAGCACTTTTATGCTATGTATTCCATGTTGCAGCTATTTTTGAGGCTTAGTGAAATTTGGTAGTGCATACCTAAAGAATAAAGAAAACGAAAAAAAGAATAATATAGTGCTTTGCTGCTTTGTAATAGTGAAAGGTCTACAGTCATACATACAGTCGAAAATGATATTTTCGAAATTAATTTGAATTTGCGCATTGATCGTGATGTGATATTTTCGTCAAGTTAGTTGGTCTCAAAAAAGGGTTACAGTTTAGTTAATTAACTATCTACTTAATAGCTAGTGGCTGGCTGGTAAGGAGCTGGTATTCATTGAACACCACATAATGTAAATACAACTATTGTAAATAGTATTATGTGTAGCTGAATAAAATTAATAACTTATTTGTTAAAATAAAATCAATACATTTGTAAAAAAAATCAACAGCCTTTAACAGTGCACTGCTGGACATAGACCTCTAATTGTAAAGGAGGTTTAAACTTACTTTACTGTCCAGACAGGTTGGTATAGGGGTTGTTTCAGGTTTTCCTTCTCTCTACAGTGCTGTTATCCTGCGTAGTTTGCTCCCTTAGTCGTCTCTTACGACACCCACGGAATGAATAGGGGTGGTGACACTCCGTATTCTTAATCCGTCACCACACGGACTGTAGGCTCCATACGACACATTTTGTATCCTCCACATAATGATTCTAACAATTTATATAATAAATGGCTAGAAACTGATTCACTATATACAACTCACGCCAATTGAATTGTGTGTACCTTTTGTTCCCTAAAAGTATTCATTATTATTATTTAGAAGTTTTGGATATTTATTTATTTATACATCTTTATTGTACCGGACACCGGCCCACCCATACTGCTGCCACTGCCTTTTAACCAAGTTCGATCCTGGGTTAGACAGCGTACTCGTGAAGCACACAACCGAAGGTAGAAAACCTCACAAGCTGCAGACAGTCTAAACTGGTGATGACTGTAGTCACACCACAACTTATTTGCAGACTGATCAGTCTTAGTAGACTAGATATACGAATAGTTGTAGGAACCATAACAGGACAGTCGTCTTTGCAGAGGATGTCTGAATGCAGAAGAAACGGCCGCCCACGTAATCCTGGAATGCGAGGGTGTGGCTACACAACGGGCAAGTATCATTCCTGATACAAAACCGCTCCTAGAAGCTTGTGAAAGCCCCAGGAGGCTTTTGCGCTTCTGGAATGAGCTTGGTTGGCTCACCTAGCCAACCTGTCCTTGACGCATAAATTACCATCTTGAGTCTAAATGAGGAAACCGTATACATCTTTATTGTACACCGCTACAGTATATATTGCACAGACATGGATGGACATCTACATTTTGGTATTACAATAGGCGGTCTTATCGCTCACGGCGATATCTTACAGGCAACCTTTACACGAATATTACTTAATCTTTATAACACTTTAGATAATTAATATACATAAGAGTAAACATAATAAATAAGCTTACAATATACAATATGCATACTACTAACACATATAAATAATGAATACATACATAGTTTATTAGGTCTTTACCTATGAAATTGCCGTTGTCGGTAGGTGCAAGGTCTGGTGAGTATGGCGGATGAGGGAGAGCTTCCAACCCCAGCTCTTGCACCTACAGACTATTACTTTTTCCAAAATTTAGTCAACTTTTTAGTGGGTAAAAAATTCAATTCCCGAGAGGCAGTACAAAATGCCTTTGAAGAGTTTGTTGCCTCCCGTCCAGCTGATTTTTACAAGAAGGGCATCAATAAACTGCCAATGCGTTGGCAAAGATGCGTCGATTGCATGGGTGATTACTTCGAATAACATAAATAAAAAAGTTTGCAAAAAATAAGTACTTTCACTTATTGCATACAAAACGGCAATTTCATAGGTAAAGACCTAATATTAAGGTTAATGCAAAATGCGTTTTTAACCTGTGACGTACCAAGTATTAACAAACAATCAATATCCCTTCAACAGCCCTTACAATGTCAAGTAGTCATTTTTGACTTGGTTTTTGAATAATTACAACGATTTAGTTTTTCGGATTGCCTCGGGTAAGTTGTTCCACAATCTAACTGCCTGCACCGAGAACGATTGGTCACTAAATTGTGTGGTATGCTTGGCCATTTATAACTTCAGATTCTCTGGTGATCTCAGGTATTATCAGATATTATTAAGTAGAAAGATAGAGTAACCCAACAACACTTTGTGTGATCCACAAATTGTCGTTCTGATATGCATAAAAATTTGGCTTTTTTTTTAATGTTAGAGGGGGCAGACGAGCAGACGGGTCACTGATCAAAAGTGACCATCGCCGCCCATGAACGTCTGCAACTCAGGAGTCACAAACGCTTTACGGCCCTTTAGGAATCGCTCTTTTCTTTCCGCTCGGAAATACCGCAGATGATAACCCGTAAAAACAAACACTCGATGAGTGCACCAATTCTGCAGCCGGATCTCGTACTATGAGTCTGGGTGTTCTTGTGTCCGTTTCATGTATGTTTGTAAAGTCCTTAATATTAATATACTAATTTAATATACTAATAGGAGAGGCGTATCAAAGAAAAATTTTGAAAAAATTGGGTAAATTATTCCTTTTAAGAGCTTCCGTTGCATAAACGGTTCAAGTTTCGCAAAAAACATGTATGACAGAATTGTTTCCCTTTAAAAGTTCTAAAAAAAATTCACTACAGCATATGTAGAATAGAATAAGAATAGAATAATAATAAAACAAAATTTAAAAACAACATACACAAAGAAACTAAAAATCAAGTAAGGTTTGATAAAGGCAACATTTTTCAATGTGACAATCTTTCATTTCTGACAGAACTGACATGACACGTCAATGTGCCACGTATCCAACCACGCGTCTATAAAATTTTACTTAGAATAACTATGTTACTACTTTTTAAACTGTGTACCATAAAAAACCTTTAATGTTACTGAGGATTGTACGCCGTGATTCAGAAAATAGGTGGACCCTCAGTGTACACTGTGGTGGATAGATGCCACCTCAGTACTGATTTTCAGTGCCCACCTTAGTTATGCGCTTCCTTACT